TGTGACTTGGCCTCCTACGTCCACTTTGGATGATGATCACTCGATTGTAGTCCCGCATGCGCCTGTGACTGCTCCGCCATCCCCTGATGATCAATCACTTGTAGTCCCTTCTGGCCCTTCTGATGACAGGGGGGGTACTTCGGTCCCTACTGCGCCAGACAGTGAGTTGGGTCGTGGACATCGCACCCGTTTTCCCTCGAGTCGCCTTCGTGATTTTGTTACTGCCACTATCTGTCCCCCTGGTCCCTCTGTTGCTCTGCCTGCTTCCTCGCCTTCTTCAGGTACGCCTTATCCTATCGCACATTATGTAAGTTGTGATACTTTCTCATCGGTCCACAAGTCTTTTTTGGCAGCTATAGCTTCTAATGTCGAGCCTCGTACGTTTGCTGAGGCCGCCACTGATAGTCGATGGCGCGTAGCTATGCAGAATGAAATCCAGGCTCTAGAGAATAATGGGACTTGGGAGGTGGTTTCTCTTCCTCCCGGGAAGCGAGCCATCGGTTGTAAGTGGATTTACAAGATCAAGTATCGTTCGGATGGAGCTGTTGAGCGCTATAAAGCGCGGCTGGTGGTTCTTGGTAACAATCAGGTGGAAGGAATTGATTATCATGAGACTTTTGCCCCTGTTGCTAAAATGGTGACAGTACGGACTTTCTTAGCTGTTGCTTCCGCTCGTCAGTGGGAGGTGCATCAAATGGATGTCCACAACGCCTTTCTTCATGGTGACTTGGATGAGGAGGTATACATGAAGCTTCCTCCTGGTTTTCGGACTAGTGATGCTGGGCGAGTTTGTCGTTTGCGTCGCTCTCTCTATGGATTGAAGCAGGCTCCTCGGTGCTGGTTTGCGAAGCTGGCTACTTCTCTCTGTCAGTATGGTTTTTCTCAGTCCCACTCTGACTACTCTTTATTTACCTTGCGTCGTGGTCTGTTCACCTGCAGGTCTTGGTGTATGTTGATGACCTTATCGTTTCTGGTAATGATCCTGTGTCCATTGGAGCTTTTAAGAGTTACTTGAGTCGTTGCTTCCACATGAAGGATTTGGGTTCCTTAAAATATTTTTTGGGTATTGAGGTGGCGCGCAACACCTCTGGCATCTTCTTGTGCCAGCGGAAATATGCTTTGGACATCATCTCCGAGGTTGGTTTGTTGGGAGCTAAGCCGGTGGAGTTTCCGCTGGAACAGAATCATCGTCTCCTTGACGATGCTAGTCCCTTCTTCGAAGACTCGGAGGCCTATCGGCGCCTGGTCGGTCGTCTTATTTATTTGGCTGTCACACGTCCTGAGCTGTCTTACTCGGTACATGTTCTTGCTCAGTTTATGCATCAGCCTAGGCGAGCACATTGGGAAGCTGCACTACGAGTTGTTCGATACCTGAAGGGATCCCCTGGGCAGGGTATTCTGCTTCGTTCTGACTCTGATCTTCAACTCTCTGGGTGGTGTGATTCTGACTGGGCTGCATGTCCCCTTACTCGTCGCTCTCTTAGTGGCTGGTTTGTTCAGTTGGGCCAGTCTCCGATTTCTTGGCGTACCAAGAAACAGCCCACTGTGGCGCGGTCTTCTGCGGAGGCTGAGTATCGCGCTATGGCTACTGTTATTTGTGAGCTTAAGTGGTTGAAAGGATTGCTGCACAGTCTTGGTGTGCCTCATTCGCAGCCCATGCGTCTCTATTGTGATAGTCAGGCGGCCCTGCATATTGCCGCTAATCCCGTTTTTCATGAACGGACTAAACACATTGAGGTGGATTGTCATTTTGTTCGTGATGCCCTTGTTCAAGGCCTTGTTTCGACTTCTTATGTTCACACTCGGTCCCAGTTGGCTGATCTTTTTACGAAGGCACTTGGCAAGCGCGAGTTCGACTTTTTCCTTGGCAAGTTGGGCATTCGGAATCCTCATGCTCCAACTTGAGGGGGGGTGTTGATGTAGTTAGTATTTAATTTGTATATTGTCGTTTGTACCCTTATTATCTTAGTTTCTTAGGGATCAAGTTATTGTAAAACCTAATGGTACATATATATACATAAGAGCCGCACGCCTGAGAGAGGGCAGATTTTGGTGTTCCAATTCATTCTTCCTCTTCTCTTTTTGTTTGTCAAAAATACCTCCAAAGCATCACCAACGTTGACAACAAATGCACCAGGGAGTGGTAAAACTGGGACCCAAAGCCCATCTTTTTTGACCTGGAGGCCCACCACCTCATTCACCTGGAGGAGAATAGTAAGCCCAACAGCATCAGAATGAGGGCAAAGGCCCATTACAAGCTCTGGCTGGGGACATGGAGGATAACAATTCATCCTCATGGCTTGGAGCCCTTCACCAAATAAATTATTAATCTCTTCAGATTTCATTTTTAAGGCTTTCGCCATTTGGTAAAGAATTTCCATTGCTAGTGCTTTCATTTCTGCTGAGTATGATTCTATGGCATCCCTGAGAAAAAAAAAAAGTCCATAAAAGAGTATAAAAAAAAAGGTGATTAATTGAATACACACTTCTATTTAATAGATTCAAGAAACGAGAGTTGACGTATGCGGTCTCACGGACGTGAAGTGCACCAAAGCACGGTGAGCTTAGATTGGCTTTAGTGGGGTTCCATCTTAAAACTAATTGGTGGTAGGAGGTTGTAGTTCAATAGACTTATAAGCTAGGTTTATTTTCCAGGTATAGACAATGTAGGACAACTCACAAGTGTATATTCTAACATGTCCCCTCACTTGTGAGTCCTTCATGTGAGCCTCAAGCCCAACTGGGCTGGATGACGGGTATGTCATTGCATGGTCCCACGTAGGCCCAAGCCCAACTGGGATATAATGATTCTGATACCATGAAAAAAAGTTGACGAGTGCGGTCCCACGGACGTGAAGTGCACCAAAGCAGAGTGAGCCTAGATGAGCCTTAGTGGAGTTTCATCCTAGCTAAAACCAATTGGTGGTAAGAGGAGCAGCTCACTGGGCTCATAAGTTATGTCTATTTTCCCTGTATTGACAATTAGACGAAGCGGGACAACTAACAAGTGTATATTCTAACAATATATGCATAATTTGCATAATTTCACACTACAATTTGTGAATGTTCATATTGAATAGTAATTTGGACAAATTCTTTAAATCAAAAATAAACATTTTTATTTACCTGAATTTAGGTGGAAGCTTGGGGATTAAGTGGGACTTTCTTAAATGAGTTGGTTGAGTGACTATGTAAAACATATCTGCCCAATCAAGTTTTTGCTCTTCTGACACAACAAAGGCTTGTCCATAGCCTTGCAAGTCCCCTGGCTCCTGATAATATTTATTCTTTTCTTCTGTTGGGAGATTAAAAAAATTCTGAATATCTAATTTCATAGTCTCTATCACTTTAGTGTCCACTCCATGGTTGATCACCTGCCCAAAAACAATAATATAGTTAAAAATTAAAGTATTATTCAGAATAATAATATTGTTTTAGTGTTATGGTGCTTGCAATGTTTAACTCTTTCTATGTAAATGAGCCCAACGATCGCGAACAAAAGTTCGTTTCTGTTCGACTAGAGCTTGTTCGTTTGTTAATCAAACTGAGTTCGAACAAAAAAATTGGCCCTATTAATATTCGGAACGATCACTAGCTCGTTTGCAAATGTCCGTTAATATTCACGAACATTAATTTAATACAATTCTTTTTTTATATTTATATATGTCATAATTTTAAAAGAAATTCAAATAAAAATATTTTTTTATTTTCGAGTTCGGAAGAACATATCTCAAGTCCATTAAACAATTTTTAAAAGTTATTATTACAAATGAACCGAACATGAAAGAGTTTAAACTTTGACGAAAAATTAAATGAACAAGATCGAACACGAATTTTTGTTAAGGGACATTTTCCTTATTTATATACCAGATTATATGGTACGCAGTTCGTAAATAAGGAGAACTCGTACCTACTTTCAATTTACGATGACATGAAAAAAGTGACAATAGATCTTGTCAGTACGTGGTCTTATTTTAAAAACGTATAGATAGGTACTTATGATTTCAGTAGAAGAAAAACTTATGTTTAATCTATGAAAAAAAAAAAAAGTTTAAACGAAAAATACGAACAATGTTAAAACATAATCGAACAAGAGATCGGTATGCTCAAGCTCGGCTCGTTCAGTTCGATTATAGCACTAATCACAACCGTGTAACATACCTGAAAAAAGCCCCATTCTTGGCATGCATTGTGTAGCTTATGAAGCTCGAAATCCATGAAATTGGAATCGTATAACTTGCGAAAATCGATTGTGGGGATTTCGAGTGAGTAAGAGAGGTTAAAAGAGATATGTTCATCGCCTTCAACACGAACATATCGTGATGGGACCGTACTTAAGTTTCTCTTGGCCAATTCTTGTACGAGGGGCACTTTCAAAGACCCGCCTAGCTTTGTTAAGCTTATTGAGTTCTCCATGGCTTCTTGATTTTCTTCTATGTTTTTGTTTATCCTTATAGAAACGAACCAATGCATGTGTATTTATTGGTTTTTTTTCTCTCTCTCACTCTCTCGGTTTTTTTTTTTTTT